ATCCAACCTACTGTTTATTCTTCTAGTGTATTCTTCATTTCAGATACTGTATTTTTCATTTCTGACTAGTTCTTTTTCATGGGTTTTGTGTCCTCTTTTATGTTTTTATAGTTCCCACTAAGTTCCTTGAGCATCCTTATAACCATTTTTGTAAACTATATACCTGATAAATTACTTGCTTCCATTTCATTTAGGGTTTGTTTGTTTGCTTATTTGTTTGTTTAGATTTCTCCTTTCATTTGGGATATGTTTTTTTGTCTCCCAAGTTTGGTTGCCTCTTGTGTTTGTCTATATTAGGTAGATATGTTGTGAGTTCCAGTCTTAGTAGATTTACTGTATGTAGTGGGTGTCCTGTGGCACACAGTGGCATAGTCTAATTGATCACCTGAACTGAGTACTCCCAGAATGACCCTTGTGTAGATTGTGGGCCCTCCTGTTGTAATTGGGTCTTGACTGCTATTGACCCATTTGTGCGTGGGTTCTACCCTCAGGCTAGCTGGCTATGAGTATCAACCCAGACCACATTATATGAGCTGCTATTCAGGTTCTGACCACACAAAGTGGAATTCAGCTCAGCAGGATCTGGTGCCTGCCTAGATCTCCTTTTGGATATGCCACTTGTGAAGCTTAATGGATACTGCTCTTAGATTGTCTGAAGCTGGCCACTGGGTGTATTGATTCTGGGACCTCTTGGGAGGGACTCTGGTGCAGTCCTATGTCAGATGCTGCTGGTGACTGGCCCTTGGCATCCTGTTTGGAGCTATACAGCAATCCACAGTTTGTGTCTGCCTCTGCTGGGCCTACATGTGTGCAGTAAGGACTGAGCTGCTTACCAAGTCTGGCTTTAACTAGCACTGGGCTCAGGGGAAGGTCAGCAAAAGCCCCAAGGCACCTTAGATCCACTTCCACCTGTCCCTGCCTGCCAGCTGCCTCTTCAGCTCAGTCACTAAAAATACCTTTGGTGGTACTCAAGTTGCATGAGGTAATTTCTCAGTGAGTCACTAGGTAGGAGCAAATGTGTTCACCAGATTGACACAGGTTCAAACTTGGTGCCAATGCTGGGTCTGAGGCCATTCAGCAAATATTTCCAGGTATACCAAGTTTAGCTGCCACCTGCTAGGTGCTCACATACCTTTGTGGTGGATTGGGGTCTTAGGGAGTCATCAGGGTGAGACCAGAAGAGTTTATCAGGCTCAAACAGAGCAAGATTTGGCTGTGTGGAGGGAGGGCTCTGCACCAGTCAGGTGTACAAGGAAAAATGGTCCCCATCCTAGAATCACACATCTCAGTTTCCCCGATCCTGCCAGGAGCCCAATCTCAGCTGGGCATGGCTGCTAAGAATTGGGAAGATGAGGCTAGGAGAGCTCTGGTGAGGGGGGATGCTGGCCAGGCTTGGGAAAATGCAACGGGATTGGCCCCTGCCCCAGAGCCACACAACTCAGTCAATTCCAGATTCTGCTCAGATCTTGGCAGTGTGGAACCAGCAGTAGTTGGAAGGGTTGGGCCACCAGGAACCCAGAGGGTGGGGCAATCAGATCTTTTGTGAGGGAGAGGCACCAGTCAGGTTCATGGGGAAGTGGTAGCAGTGGCCCCCACTCCAAAGTCAGCCAACTCAGTCACTCACACCCCCTGAGTCTGCTGAGACCTCTGCCCTCCAGCCCAGGCTACTGACCCCTCAGCAGGGTGCAGGCTGCACAGGATGGAGCGAGAGGGAGTCCAGATAGTGGAACTATTGTTGTCCTCCAAGCTCATGCTGCAGGAAGGGGAGTGTTCCACACAAGAAAGATGGTGTCTGCAGTGTGGGAGAGGGGCTCAGCCGAGGGATTCTGGCTGCTTCCCTTCAGCTCTCTCCCCAGAGCCACAAACCCCAGTCTCTCTTCATAGGACTCTAGATTGCTCCACACTCCCTTTACCATTGTCCAGGGTGAGTAGCTGCAAGTGAGATTTGGTGCATTGGCCCTTTAAGAAGGCACCTGTGTTTCTAGTAAGCTCCTGTCTCTTTCTGGCAGACAGATTTTCACAGCCACATGTTATATGGGCGACTCTTTTTAGCTCTGGTGCTCTGGGCTGGAGAGCTCAGCTTGGGGCTGAAACCCCACACTTCTCAGGCGGAACCCCCACAGCTGAGATATCCTCCCAGAATCTCAGCTGCCATCTGTAAGAGTTGGGTCAGCCCTTTGCATATCTCTGCCCTTCCCACTAGTCTCACTGTGGCTTCTTTTGTAAATCCTTGGTTATAAGACTTCTCTTCAGCTAGTGTTTAGTTGGTTATTCCATTTGCTTGCTCTATGTTTTAATTGTAATTCCAGATTGATCCTGGGAAGAGGTGAGTGTACATCCACCTACTCTACCACCATCTTGGATCCCCTGAGTGGGGAATTCTTATCCCTGTTTTTCACACTGTTCCCAGGGGACAGGCCTCAACCATCAGTCATTGTCTGAGACCAGAGGCATTTACCTCACACCTACACAAAAAGTTCCACAGAAAAGACTAAATGGTGGCAGGAATGGGAAATGCCCTGACCAGGTATTTCATAACCAGGTTTTTTTTTTTTAATGGAATATCTAGGGCTTGACATTTTGACCACAGAGTAAATCTTGAATATACTTTACAAGAAATTTCTCTTGGCCTTTAAGAGTCTCTAGTGAATCCATTTTAGATCTCGACAGTAAGAGCAATGGGTTGATACTACCTGGTCACTCAAGGGCTTCCAAGCATTTTCCAGTTAAGAGCTGCCTAATCTGCCCTATCAGGTGGTTGAGCATTGTTCCACAAAGTGAAATGTCACCAGTTCGATTCCCAGTCAGGGCACATGCCTGGGTTGCGGGGCCAGGTCCCCATTTAGGGGTGTGTGAGAGGCAACTAATGGATATATCTCTCACGTGTTGATGTTTCTTTCCCTCTTTTCCCTCTCTCTGAAAGTAAATAAATAAAATCTTTTTAAAAAATTCCTGTTCTTACTCTGTGAGTTCTTGCTTTCACTGTTTTTAGCCAAATATTCCTAAGTGTTTGCTCCCAGTGGAGATGCTTATCCTGTTCCCTTAGTCAGCAGCAAGGTACACAGTTTTAGGCCTCTAATGCTTCCTCCTTCCAGCAGTGCCAGATGCCTGATATTCTTGTCTAAACCAAGGACCATTTCCTGAGGAATGTCAGGCTCCAGCTCAGACCTGGGGATTTCTGCCAGAAGGATAATTGCAGGCTGTCTTTGTAGTGCCTTTTGGAATGGGGTATTGGTTCCTTTATGCCTTGGGCCTGGAGATGCCTGCCAAGTGTGGGAGCTTTTAACCTTGGGGAGGAGGCTGCCTTCCTTCCTCCCCCTAAGCTGTTTTTAAGCCCCAAGACTGAGTGCAGAAGTGCTAGACATTCTGAGTCCCTTCTGGATGGCCCTGAACAGGTTACTGAGGCTCTCTAGAACTTCAATTTTTCCATTATGAAATAGTGGGAATAATTTCATATCAGAAAAAAAGATCAGGAAGAATTTGTACTAGAGTAATATGATGATGTACCTGCAGTGATACCTGCATAGTGCTGAATAAAGATACAATCTGGGCCATCTTGAAAAGAAATCTGAGAAAAGCCCTTGAGAGATGAGTCCCTACTCAGTTGGTGGCAGTAACTGTGGTGGGCTCCCACTTTTATCCTGCCATCGGCACCCTGCACCTGCTACTGGGGTATTTGACACAATGCCTCAGTATACTTCCACTAGAAAGCACTTTGTAAACAGCTTCTGGTCTACTTTTTTTTTTTAAAGATTTTATTTATTTTTAGAGAGAGGGGAAGGGAGGGAGGAAGAGAGGAATAGAAACATTGATGTGTGATAGATACATCAATTGATTGTCTCTTATGTGCCCCCAACTGGGGACCTGGCCCGCAACCCACACATGTGCCCTGACTGGAAATCGAACCGGCAATCTTTCAGTTTGCCAGCCAGCACTCAATCCACTGGGTCACATCACCCAGAGCTGGTCTACTCTAGCTTTTACATTTTGATCTGGGATAACCCAACTTCAAATCCATTCCACATTGTTGTGATTCAGTGACTCCTGGGGTAGATTTGATTTCAGATGAATCACCCCTACAGATGGACCCACCAGCCTGCTGTTCCATTGCACAGGCCATGCTCCTCTCCCTCCACCGTCACCGCCATCCCCCCCACCACCACCACAGGTATGATGTGGTCTATGGTAAGGCTCCTGATGACTCTATGGCATGAATGACCATTGAATTCTTTATTATTATTATTCTTTTAATTTTTATTTATTTAGCCCTGGCTGTCATGACTTAGTATATTGAGCGCCAGCCTGCGAACCAAAGAGTAGCCAGTTCTATTCCCATCAGGGCACGTGCCTGAGTTGCAGGCCAGGACCCCAGTAAAGGGTGCATGAGAGGCAACCACACATTGATGTTTCTCTCTTCTCTTTCTCCCCCCTTTCCAAAACCTCTCTCTAAAAATAAATAAATAAAATCTTTAAATAATATGATGTTTTATTTGTTTAATTAAAATGACTTTTAAATTCTTAGGGCATGTATCAGGACTGGGAGAACTTTGGCTAACCAGGGCCCTGCCAGCAGTTTCTGTTACAGGCTTACCACTCCACTGGATTCTGTTTTCTGCCTGGTGTTCCACATTTTGGAACACATTCTGAACACGTTTTGTTGGTTTTTATTTAGATTTTTTTTTAAGATCAAGGTAGAAATTTATTGTGACAAATTTCAAGTAACAAGAAATGGGTAAAGAAGGACATGCAAGCACCTTGTGCCGCCCTCTTGGCGGGCCAGACTACCGCATGCCTTGCCAGCATGTTTCTTTGTGAGGCTCCCTTAACTGCTGCCGGTGCGAGCAACTGAGCATCCTGGAAAGGTCTTCGTTATAATTGAAAAACTCTTCCTCCTCCCCTAGCAGCCCTGTTCTATACTTGGCCTGTGGCCCTTCTAGCCACTGTCTTGACATCTTCCACCAAGGGCTTTCCTTCTTATGTCCTCCTTTCTCCTCCCCCAGGCTGTGTATAAGATGGCAGATGTAGCCTGCAAATGCCATGGCGTCTCTGGGTCCTGCAGCCTCAAGACCTGCTGGCTCCAGCTGGCGGAGTTCCGCAAGGTGGGAGACCAGCTGAAGGAGAAGTATGACAGCGCCGCAGCCATGCGCATCACCCGCAAGGGCAAGCTGGAGCTGGTCAACAGCCGCTTCAACCAGCCCACCCTCGAGGACCTGGTGTACGTGGACCCCAGCCCTGACTACTGCCTGCGCAACGAGACCACAGGCTCCCTGGGCACCCAGGGCCGCCTCTGCAACAAGACCTCGGAAGGCATGGATGGCTGTGAACTCATGTGCTGCGGCCGTGGCTACGACCAGTTCAAGAGCATCCAGGTGGAGCGCTGCCACTGCAAGTTCCACTGGTGCTGCTTCGTCAAGTGCAGGAAGTGCACGGAGGTCGTCGACCAGCACGTCTGCAAGTAGCTGGGGCCAAGCTCCAGGCCCCCTCTCCACTCTGCCTCACAGAAGATTATATTATATAAATCTATATAAATATATTTTATATTTGTATAAATGAATGGATGGGTGATAATTAAAAGAAGAAAATGGAAAGGAAAAGCCTATTTAAGAGACGTTAAAGATCTTTGAGAATTGAACTTTGCTGGTTCTCAACTCTCAGTGGGTGGGACAAAGGTCGTTCCCTTTCTCCAGTGGCGACTCAGGATGTAGGGACTTGGGAATGTTTGCTGTCTATCCATTATCCCTTGAGGAGAGAGGTGGTGGTTAGGTGGAGAAGATGATTCTGTCTGGAAGTCTGGAGCCTTTGCTAGGTAGATGACTGGACTTGACCTCAGCCTTTGGGCCCAGAGGCCCTATGGAAGGCAGCAGGAACTCAGCTTAAGCCTTGAAATCTCCAGGGTCTCGCCCAGAACATTGACGGGTTCTGTGAAAGGGCCAGTGCTTTCCTGCCTTTTTATTTGTGTGCATACTTGCAGACGTGAGGAGCGGCCCAGTGCTGTCTCTGACCCGTGACTCTAAAAGGACCCACACCTCCCTGGCCTGTCTTTCCAGGGAGAATTACTGTCCCTCCACAGTTCACTGGCTCCTGCCACAAGTTTCCTGCACCAGGAGGAAAGGGGGCCTTGGGCCTGACACATTAGGAAAGACATGAACTGAGTATTTGTGCCTGAGCTGCAGAAAGCTGGGCGCGTGACTAGACTGAACGAATGTTGCACTGTGCTTCCCACCCAAGGAGGGGAACCTCGTGATGCTGCTGCTGTCACTTCCTCCATCAGTGGAGGCCTCATGCATGACAGGATACATAGCTAGGTCAGGCTCAGCCGGCTTGGCATGGTCTCTTCATCTCTGCCCCAGATGTACAGTTTCTCTCTGACATTAAATACCCTCCATTGAAGTTTCACTCCCTTTCCTTATTTGGACACACAGTTACCTTTTATGAGTCTCCTCTTATTTTGACCTAATCCTTAGAGCCCCGTACATGGTATATATATGGAAGAGGGTAAGGAAAGCGAGACGTTTCAGAGCTCTAGTTTGGTAATCAGAGGCAGGAACAGGAGGATGTTAAGAGAATTGAATAGGGTAATGCATTTAAGTGCTGTCCCCAAGGGCTAACACAAAGTTAAATACTCAATAAATGGCCCTGGCCAAGTAGCTCAGTTGGATGGAGTGTTGTCCCATCCACCAAAAGGTTGTGGGTTTGATTCCTGGTCAGGGCACATACCTGGGTTGGGGACTCAATTCTTGGTTGGGGCATGTATCAGAGGCTGAGGTTTCTCTGTCACAGGGATGATTTTGTCTCTCTCTCCCTCCCTTCTTTTCTCTCTAAAATCAATAAACAGCCCTGGCTGGTGTGGCTCAGTGGATTGAGTGCCAGACTGTAAACCCAAGGGTTGCCAGTTCAATTCCCAGTCAGGGCACATGCCTGGATTGCAGGCCAGATCCCCAGTAGGGGGTGCGCAAGAGGCAACCACACACTGATATTTCTCTCCCTCTCTTTCTCCCTCCCTTCCCCTCTCTAAAAAAATATAAATAAATAGAATCTTTTTTAAAATAAAAGAAAATTAATAAACATATCAGGTAAAGATTAAAAACTCACTAAATGGTAGCTATTAATATTACTATTGTAAACAAAAGAATTTAGAGATTTAAATGTAAACCTCACGTTTACCTCCCCTTTCCCTTCTTCCTTCATTTACAGCCTACTAAGTTGACTGTGGTTTGTTTCCTGGGTCCTTGGAAAAGCACAGGTGATGGGGATGCTCCTTGCAGGAACCCGGATGTTGCCAGCTCCAGGGCTGGACTCCAGTAGTGGGGGCCAGTGAGAGAGTGGAAGGCAGAGCCCGGGGGTCCAGGGGGGAGGTGTTGTGTCCAAGAAAAGGAGGAAGCAGTTACTAGGAGAGACATTGATCCCGACTGCACTGGAGTAACCAGTCTTCAGGTGAGCCAGTAACCACATAAAGACCAGTTTTGTCCTAGAAAAGTTTATTTCTGGGAAGATAGTGGAATTATGGAACTAATTGAGTTGTAATGAACAAATAGTCCTGCAAAATAATCTAAAAGAGATTATTCTGCCTAAGTGTCTCCATGGCCATATGTACTACTTGTATCTTTAGTATCTGAAGAGGAACCTTCTGACTTGACATCAAAGAATATCAGATGTGGGGCTCTTCACACTGTTACTCAGACTCTTTTGGTCAACATTGTCGAGATGGGTGGTCTGTGAAAGAAGGTGCTTGCAGTCAGCTGGACTGCAAAAGATCAAAACCATGTCCGTGGCTTCATGAGTTGGCATTTAACCAAATACACTAATGGGCCACATGGACCGACAGTGATAATGCAGGTTCTGAAACCCTGGCTGGCGTTATTGCTCTTTGCCACATCACCTGAAGAGGCGAGCAGTGGAGGGAGAGTTACCTTACATCAGGTGTTCAAAGCGTCTAAGAGCCGAAATGCAATTCATCCTTACAAACTACAGGAAATTAGTTGAGAGTGATTTGTCCACAATCCTAAAAAGTGACTTCTGTGTTTATTATGAAGGGAGCTGGGCCATCCTTATTATGTTGAGGTCTTCTGGCAGAGCCATGGCAAGGGATGGGGTGAATATTGAATGTGTCTTTCTGGCATGGGGAGCCAGCCATATGTTCAAACACCAATGCGATTGTTGCATCCACTGAGAACCAGGGTTAGGAAACACTTAATTTTCAAAGTGGATTGGGATGAAGTTATACTTGCTGTCACACACTTGTTAAATCCTGGTGGATTAGCAGCTGTCTGTCAAGTGATCCATAATGCTGTAGGCACGTGGCTGTACAATATGGAGACCAACCTAAAAAAATTAGCTCTGCCTGGGGCCATCGAAGGTTCGAACAGGGAGAGAACATGGCAGTCAGCTCTCCACAGGTAAGGACCTCCACACCTTTAGTAGTTCCCAAACCTTAGAAACTGCTCTAAAAATGTAGAGGTCTCCAACACCAGAAATTCTTGTTCAGTTGGCCTGGGTTGGAGCAGGGACTATTGTCTGCACCTTTCACAAGGACCTGAGACAACATGCTGGTGGTCCAGAGACCACACTGGACCTCTTATCATTAGAGCCAAACCAAGATCTGCCAGGAGGCACGAGGCAGGTCCTGAGGGCCAGCCCAGGGTTCTGGGCCACCCTGTGCAGCATCACTGTACCTAACATGGATTATTGTTAACATGTTGTCTAATGGAAAGATCATTGCATTGGATGTAATGCCTGGACCAAGCAGTCCTGGCCACTCTGGGGAGCCTTTCTGATGAGAAGGGCAAGGGTATCTGGCACAGAGCAGAAATGACTTGCCTGGGGATGTTCCACATCCATCCTCTGCCTGGGACTGGTACGGGGAGCCTGCAGATCCATTATGACTATAGTAAGGCAATATTTGTTTAGCTGTTTGTCTACATGTATTCACCTTGTCTTCAAGATAAAGTTAGGAGAAAGGTATGCCTGAGTGTCTCCATCTAAGAGTAGATGAGAGGGTAGGAAGGCAGTCACAGCCGGAGTTAAGACCAGGGCAGGGCTCTTCACAAAGGCGTTTTAATGAAAGTCTCAAGAACTTGGGTTGGAAACCCTGATTCGCAGAACTCAGTGGTCAACCACTCTTCATTCTTTGATGTGAAAACAAAACTTGCTACTTGCATTAAAGCCCCGAGTAGTTTATTGCTTCTGAAATTCTGCTCTGCTTCCTATCTTAAATCATTTTTCTTATTTTTTAGAAAGAGAGAGAGAGAGAGAGGCAGGGAGGGGGGAGAGAGAAAGTGATTTATTGTTGGTTTGTTTTTCATTTATTGGTTATTTCTTGTATGTGCCCTGATGGGGATCAAACCCTCAACCTTGGCGTATTGGGACAATGCTCTAATCAACTGAGCTACCCAGCCAGGCTTAAATCATTATGTTCTTATTTAAGCTTTGTCATGCCCTGGAGTTCCAAGAACTAGCAACACAACTTCAGTTGAGCTTGCTCCACAAGACATAGCTCTTATGGCAGCAATAGCATATCAAAAAAAAGAAGCTTATTTCTTGGGCAGAGAGCCACAACCATCCTGAAAGGGTGGGGAAAAAATAGTCATTTCTGTCTTCAAATGGGCTCTGATGCATTGCTAGCCTCCACCAAACTGGTTATGTATATTTTGGGAGACCCTCTCCATATGTGTGTGTGTGTGTGTGCGCGCACGTGAAGGGGGTGCAAGCGTGTGCACATACGCACACCCATGCACGCAGGAACGAATGTTTTTCATTAGCTTTGGAGGGGAGATGAAGAGGTACTTGAGGCATGCAATATGTAAAAAATATAAAATAACTCCCTGTTTCTGGCTGAGATGCTGCAGAACATGAATTGTCTGTCTTCATTGGAAATCCCTGCCCTCTGGTTGGCTAGTGATGACAAGCTTCGTATCTCTAGAGGCGTCCTGGGGAGCTGAAAAGGGCCACCTGAGCTGTGAGTGTTAAATATGATGGTTGGTCCTTTATTATATAGGAATCTCTGCATTGTATTTCTACTAATGCAATAAATAAAGGAAGTAAAGGGTGCTTCATTCCTGATTTTACATAAGCACCATGGGTAATTTTCCCAAAGTAAGATTTTAGCCCACGTAGGAGGGTCAGACAATATGAAAGACCGAGTCCTCACACAGTTAATTTTCTAGACTGTGTGAGAGGTTGGGTGGGTGTTCATCATGGAAGTTATCCATATTCTTTGCTTTCTCCCTCCTGCTGCCTGCCTTTTGGTTTCCACTTGGTTCATTTGCAGTCTTCCAGAGGCAGCAACAGAAAATAGAACCAGATCAGTCCATTCAGGCTTCCTAAGTAGTAATGACAAATCACTGAGTGGGAGAGGGGTGGCTAAAATTAGATTTTGAAATTATCTGTGGATTGAATTTGTCACTTACGTGCATTATCTGTTGCTCCCCATGATAACTAGACATAGACTGAAAGCCACCCTCAGCCCAAGCGGGCAGGAAGCTGCAGTATCAGGAGAGTTTGCCCAAGTGGCGCCTACCAGCAAAGCATCAGAAAGGGCCCTCAGCACTTGCAGCAAGATGTAAGAAAAAAGACACTGTAGAAAGGCCAGCCTTTTAACCCAATGTTATTTTAAAGTCAAAGGGACTGTGTGCTGTTTTAAGTGGCTCTGGCCCTCTAATACATCTTCTAAGACTTGGAGCTTGTGCTCTACTTTTTAGGTCAACCAGCCCTTTAGTTGGTACCTGATTTGAAGCTACCTCTTCTCTCATATGTCTACTTTATTTTCAAAGACCTTTTTAGTAGAAGAGAAGTCTCATAAGGGAAGGAATTTTTAAAAATCCCCTTTGCTCCCAGCCATGTCTCCTTGAACCTAAAACAATGCCTAGCACAGAGAAAGTATTCAGTAAGTACTTGCTGAATGAATGAATGAATGATTCTCACTGAGCAGATGAGGGAATTGCAGGATAAGGAAATTAATTTCCCGGGTCACAGTGAGGTGTGTCCTCTCAAACTTTCAAGTAACAGAAATCAGTTTGAGCCAGCTTAAAAGGAGAGAGGTATTATAAGTGTTCAGGAGAGTCTCTTAGACTGCAGGGTCTTCAGAAACTGACCGAGACACCTGCCTTGCCCCTCCACCCCTCTCCCTTCCCTGTAGTTGTCTTCCCTCTGTGTCTCTGCAGACCAGTTTCCTCTGCTCCTCACAGTTGGAAACAGGGCAGCCAGCAACTTTGGAGTTAACAGGCTACAGTTCTAGCCATGGAAGTGACTCAGAATCTCTCCTGATCCTTGTTCCAAATTCCCAGGGAGGAGCTCCCAGGCCAGGGCTCTCTCTACCATCCTGCAGTGGTTCCAGTCAATGAAGTGGAGGGGTGGCTCTGTCCTTATCAATTCCTCTGCTGATGGTTAGATCAGAGAACACGCAATCCAGCTTGTTTTCATGCATGAAGATCCCCTAAGAATTCCACCTGGAAGTGCTGGTGAGAAGTAGTCCTTGATCTGTGAAAATGCATACCTATGGGACAAGTCCTAAGACTTTTCTTGAGAGGTAAAATCCCGAGCTCACTAGTGTGAAGAGGAAGCCCTGTGTTTCCTAAATACCTTCAAGGGTGAGATTAATACCCACTTGTCTGTCTGATAGTGTTAAGGGAGTCCAGTTACTTAGCAGATGACCAGGCTAACGCAGTGACCACCCCTGGCTGACATTCCATTGTACAGATTTAGTAATTTTTTTATACTGAGCTCTATTTGAAGGGCCAGTGATTCCTGTTAATGATGTAAAGGTATCTTCCCTTTGACAGTGTAACTCTACAGAATTAATTGCTTCCTTCAGGCTTTTCCTAGTTTTT